CCTGGCCCGCCCCGCGGAGGCGGCGGCCGCACTCGGCGGGCTCCGTGGGCATCCCCGGCGGGAGCGGAGGGCGCACAGCGGGCGGGCCCCGCGGCGGCGGCAGCGGAGCGGGGCAGGACGGGCCGGGCGGGCATTGCCCCCCATGGCTGCGGGGTCGCGCCGGCCCCGGTGTTCATTCCCGGACGGCACCAGGGGGGGGGCCGGGGACGCGGATCCTCGCCGCTGATTGGCTGATCCTCCGCCGGCACCGAGCGAACCGCTCCATCCTATTGGTCAGTCGCCGCCCCGCCTGCTGGCGTCTGCGTGCGTGCCATTAAGTGTGTCCTGTGCCGGCCGCCGTCGGCCGTCTCCCGGGGTGACGGGCTCGGTGCGGCGTCCCTGCGGCCGCGGAGCAGCGCCTCACCGGGAGCGGCCCCTCACCGGGAGCGGCCCCTCACCGGGAGCGGCCCCTCACCGGGAGCGGCCCAGCGCAGCCCGGAGCTGACGCCGGTCCCCGCCGGCTGCCGCCGCCGTGGCGGAGCGCTCCGGGCCGCGCGCAGCCGTTGAGCTGCGGGGCCTCGGCGGAGGCAGCGGTGAGCGGGGCGGGGAAGGGCCCGGGGGACTCGGCAGCCTGAGGGCTGGCTCTCTCCTTCCACGTCAGAAACCGGATTTTGTAGAAAACGTTGGGCTTATAAACTAAAAAAAAGTGCTTCCACAGCGGGAGAGAGGAGCCAGTGACACATGCGGGATTTTTGAGTTGCTGCTCTCTTGGAAACGGGAAAGGAAGGTTGGGAACGTGGCCGGAAAGTGCAGATGCTCTCTGGAACTGCTGGACTTCCATTAACAACTCTTTTCAGGAAATATGGTGGTCCTAGAGCTGTTCTGCAGAGAGATTTCAGTGCTTCGGGCTTTCAGGACATCGCAGTTGTTGCACCTTATTTAGCTCTCAAGTACAATTTTGGCAGAGAGGACGGTGTTCACAAATTTTTGCTGAATGTGCAGCTACTTTGCTGCTCAGGTTTGCTGTTCAAAATATAACACAGTGAAGCGCCCCGATATAATTCCAGACAAGGAAGGAAGTTAAATAATTAAATTGTGTGAGGAGGGTCAGCTCTAAATGGTTTTCAAGAATGTGAAAGCTTGTGGCTGAAATAAATTCTGTATTGTAAAGCCTTTAGTGAAGGTGGTGTACTAAATGTACTCTACTGAATGGTGTGCAGGCTTCACTGCTAAGTTTGATGGGTTTCTGGACTCGTTGGTTTTGTTTGACCTCAACAAGCTGACAGATGTAATATCCAGAACAGGTTTGGGATGTTTTTAGTGCACCCTATAAAATACCTGACGTGTGTTCTGTACATATTTCAGAGATCCAGTCTCTCCAAACTGGCGTAGCAGAATGGGATTTACCTCCCTACCATAACATTTTCAGCAGTGTTCAATGCCCTTTCCTCCTAGAGTGGTTTGTTTCTGCAAATTTTTATCTAATTTTTCAATTCCTGCCCGCCCCCTTTTATGGTTTTGTATTTAAACAAGATTCTTGTTGCTCTCTGTTTTTCACTCTTGAATAAATTCTCTTCATCTCATGAATCCCATCTGAATGCTCTGGCCATAAATAGGCTCAAGAGCAATTTTGTGACAGTTTGCAAAGATAGTCTGTATAAAAAGGGATGGGAATTGTTCTGTGGAGGTGCTCAGGCACTGAAAATGTTACATTTATGTCATTTGACACAATTACAATGGCACATTTTGTTCACTGAGCTGTTATATTTTGCTTTCTTGAAATTTGTGTGGCTCTGTTCTCAAAGTGAGCTTTGTTCAGACTTGCTGGTGGGTTGAGGCACCACAGCCCACTGCATGAGGGCTTTTTTTTTTTTTAATGATTTTGTATTCTTCAGAGCTTGATTTTAATACTTGTAACAGCTGTAATCATCTTGCTCTTTTTAAGCACTTCTCTGCTCTTCATACGCTCAGCTCTCCCACGGAGAAGCCGTTCTCAGGTTCTTGAGGATAATGGGATATAAATGTTTAAAGAGTATCTGTTGTCTCTGCTTTGGATGAAACCTGACCTGTTGCTGACACTGAATGACAGCAGATCCATGCAAAGGCATCCTTGAAAATGAACTTCATAAGATCAGGAGGAGTTCAGTTCCTACCTCTATAAATTATCTAAGCCATCACAGTTGATCAGGATTGCTATAATCTTTAATTATTCACCTCCTGGCATCATTTAAAATAACCTTATTTTGAGGTTAGCTATAATTTAAAATATGAAGGGAATTTTGAGATGCAAACTTTAGGAGACCTGCTATAGTAATTCTCAGAAAAAGGAATATTCTCTTTCTTTCTGCTTGAAGAGTGGAAAGTGGGATTGTGAATGATGGAAACACTTGGTACTTCTATTTAAATTAGTGACATTTACTAGATATCACTGCCAGTTCCTCCAAATACTCACTAGAGAGCCCCAGCTTCCTTGCTCTGGAATCTTCTTGTGCAAAAGAAATTGACAGTTAAATGAATACACTTAGCAGGTAGGGACGTTCTTTGTTTGCTTTTAATGCCTTATTCTGACATGTTCTTGTAAGTCTCACTCATGCTTGAAATTGCTCCTTATTCTCTGTCAGTCAGCAGGGCTGTGGCACCTGTTGGTGAGACAAGCACTGAAATTTTGTAGCTGGATGTGTCTTGCTCCTCTAACTTGCAGGTTTCCTTCTGTGCTGTGGCCTGGCATTATTATTTGGGATAAGTAGTGTGTCCTGGCCGCCCAGATCTGTAATGAAGTGTGTGAGGATGGAAAAGATAACAAGACTGAACATAGCACACTGAACAGGAGGCTGCTGCCTTCTTTCTGCAGAGTGCCTAGCTATTTTTTTTGGTCCCTTTTTTTCTTTCTAGGAGTGACAAGAAAGACCTTGGCTCTGAAGTCCTCTGCCAGTTGAGTTGCTCTGGCCTGCCCACATCATTCCTGCAGCTTTGGTGGCTCTGGATGGCTGGTGAAGAGGGATGTTCAATCTAATGGCCAATTGCTGCAACTGGTTGAAACGGTGGAGGGAACCTGTCAGGTAAACATGGGAAAGTATTTTACATTTCTCACCTTCCCAAACTGTGTTTTATTCATTGTTTCATATTTGATCATGTCCCCATCAGCAGCCCAAGTTCTTTCTCCCCAGGGCTCTTCTCCATGTGCTGATACCCTGACCCAGCACCTTGTACTTGGTCTCACTAAACCTCCTGATATTCCATGGGCCACTTCTTGTGCTTGTGCAGTTCTCTCTGGGTGGCTTCCCATCCTTCAGGTGTGTCAGCCTCACCACTCACCTGCAAACTTGCTTCTGTCTCATTAATGGAGATATTCAGTAACACTGGTCCCAGTATGGACCTCTGAGGGGCACTGCTGGTCACTGGTGTCCACTGGGACCCCGAGCTGTCACCACTACCCTCAGGCTGTAGCAGTTCCTGCTGCTCCACCCACTGAACCCATCTCTCCAATTTGGGCAGAAGTCATGAAAAATTATATCTGTAATCCTTCCTTTGTCCACTCCATCACAGAAAGCTTCTAAGCTGCTCAGGGTAAAGTTTGTTTGGTTTTTGCCTTACTCTTCCAGATTCTGCATTTTTGAGATTCTAAAGTATAATTTAATTTTTGGGTTCTTTTCTCAGAGGTTTCTTGCTCTTCTGAAAGAACTTGTATAAATTATGCTTCATGTTTGATACTATTAGAGTTTAAAGTCTGCAAATAACAATGTTTTTTAGAATTCCTTCACTTAAGGGAACATAACATTGAGCAAATTGATTTGACCACTGAGTCTTTGTGAACAGGAGGAAGAACTGAGGTATACACACATAAATATGGTTTTCCTGTGGCTTTTAAAATCCTATCCTGGGGAAAATATTAACCTGTATACCAGTTTGCTAATAAATTGTGCATTCCTAGCACATTTCACTTGAGGGGTTGTCTTTCTAAGTAACTTTCATCTTGTGCAAGAACAAGAGTTTACTTAGTAGTGTTTTGGCAGACTTGGAGACTCCACCTCGAGTTTGTTTACTTGTGTTACGTAAGTTCACAGACTTGCTAAGGCACAAATAAAATCATGAGTGTTCTCTCCTGTTCCCCCATCTTTGCCCTAAAGTGTTTCATTATTTAGCCTTCCATTCTATTTGAAAACCACCTTTACTGTCTTTACCATCTAAATGTAACAGTTATTTCTAAAAATGCCCTATTTTTCAGGGGGAAAAAAAAGATATAAATATGTGTATTTCTAAAGGGAAAGTGAAGGAAAAGACAGTTCTGATTTCTTTGAGTATTCCCCAGGGCTTAAATGTCCTCAATGCCCATCTTGGCTGTCTTAAGGGTAGGAGCAGAAGGCTGGTGGGGATTCAGTTTCTGCACTGCTCTTCAGAGCTCAGTGCTTTTAGCCAGGCCTTCATTTTTTCCGTGTTTCTCCTGGCTTGTGCTCCCCAGCTGCATAAAACAGAGATCCAATTATCTCAGCCCTGCAGGCACAGCTTAGTGGTGTGAGGAAAGTCCAGGCTTTCTTTGCCCTCAGGAAAGGGAGACAGCAAGCAAGAGTATTAAATAGAAATCTGTTATTTTTTAGCATATTGCATGGCAAATTAGAAAAAAAGCAGCAAATAAAAATAAGCAAACAAAGGCTAAAACCTGACCTTGAATAAAGGGAATCAAATAATTTACATCTCAGAAGAAGATAGTTTCAGTCATTTCATCTCAGCCCTCAGTTTGAACTTTTGAAGCTGTTTTGGCAATCATGAAGGATAAAATATAAATTTGGCAGAGCACAAGGTTTCCCAGGTCATAGTGCATTAACTGGTTTGGTTGTTTTCCTTCTCAAAGTTGAATTACTACCATGGAGATGAGTGGAAGTGAAAATGCAGTACAGTAACCACCACTGCAATGGAACTGTGGTGTGAAATACTAATATCTGCCTTTTGGGCCCCTCTCTTTTCTCCCCCCTTCCCACTCCCCCAGTGCTCCTGTCTAAATTAATGTAAAGTAACTAGCTGAGAGACTAGTTAATTTAAAATTCCCTGAGGAGAGGGGAAATCTTCCTGTAAGAAAAATGTGATCAGAAACATTTAACAAGGAGGCTTTGCTCCGTGTCTTTAAAATGTGAGTTTTGCTACACAAATCCCACTATAAAATCCTCTTTAAACTGCAGGCTTTCTTCTTTGACAGAGTCTCCTGAAGATGTGGCTCCCACAGTTGGGTTTTCCAAAATTAATCTTAAACAGGGACGCTTTGAAGTCACCATCTTTGATTTAGGAGGTGGAAAACGAATCCGGAATATCTGGAGGAATTACTATGCTGAGTCCTACGGTGTCATATTTGTGGTGGATTCCAGTGACATTGAAAGAATGGAAGAAACAAAACAAGCCATGATAGAAGTGTTAAAAAGCCCTAAGATATCAGGAAAACCTGTGTTAGTGTAAGTAGCATAATAAATGTTCTCCTAATAGTATGAAGTCGGGTGAATTTAGACCTAAAGAACTATTTCTGTAACTAATACTGCTGTAACTTTAGCACTAACCAACACTGTAATTAGTTTTATGGTTTTATGTTTTATTTTATCCTTCTCAGGGGTATTTATTTCTCTCCTCTTTCATTAGCCATGGAAAAATAACACGGTGGGATTTTTTAATGCTTTAAAATTTAATGTTACTTGAAATGCTAGGTTAAAAGGCTTTACAAATTTGGTGTGGCAACATGATGCAAAAATATTGTTGCTATTTATGCCTACCTCAATTAATTAAATGGTAAATGGTTGATTATACTCAGCAATAGGGTGATCTCTAAGCAATAAATGTCTTGTTCACTTAACACATGGTGCTGCTGATATATGATCAAAAATATCTCATTAAAGGAGGCTTGCTTTAATTGTATTGGGCACCTTCTTTTTCTTTGTTTAATAGGCTTTGTAAAAATATTGGTAAGAACATATTTTTTTAAATTCCACACCAAAAAAATTGATAACAAATACTCTTTTGAAGTTAAAAAATGAACTCTGAAAGTTTAAAATGGTTTAAAATGTCTGGTGAGCATGAGACCTCCATAATGCATAAATTGCACAACATCTCTGTGCTGTCATAAAGAATCTGTACAAGTAAGAGGAGAGACCTCTTATTTTTAAGAAATAGTGATGCTCTGCTGGTTTGAAGCTGAGCCTGGCTAATTGTGTTGATGAAGTGGAGGGTAGTTCAGCAAAGTAATGGTGTGTATGTTGAAAATAGATTAGATTTTCATTGCTCTGCATGTTACTGGCACAGGCAAGGCAATAAAGCCAGCTTAGTTTAACTCAAATGAAAATGCAGCTGTGACTGTGGAAAGCTGTGCTGTGTTTTTTAATTAAATACAACTTTATGGGTGGTTTTGGGATGCATTTTGGTTTTGTTGGTTGGTTTTCTTTGGGTAGAAATCTCTGTAATGCTATAATGGAGTTATATTTGTGTGGCTGACTGGACCTGCAGAGAAGTCACTCACTACCCTGGATCTTGATACTGCCTTTTGATTTCTATCAGTAGCTAATCAGAAGGCAGAGTGTATTTATTCATGGCTCTAATGGTGACTAAACTAAGTTTGTTGATGTTAATACTTTTTATTAGATTAAACTTCAAGCTTTGATCAGAATTTGCTTTTGCAGTATCCCAGTTTTGTGGAGGGATCCAGTAGTTCTTTGGTTTATGCTCCTGTGTGAGCCTCCCTCTTGAGTTAAGAATTCTCTCCTGTATTGTCAGATTTCCAAATTTATGCTGGAAGTTAGCCTTTCTTAATGTTATATTAATTTTAATGTTCAGATTTTGTTTGTGGGTTTTTTGGTTTTGTTGGGTTTTTTAATAATGAGATACTTGCTATCCATGTAGCACTAAGTTCCCTAATACCTTGCTACATTGTTTAATTAGTGCATTTTAATCTGTGCAGAATAGGCTGAATTGCACAATGTGGACACAAAATTGATGGTAAATACTCACAGAAATATAGGAATATAGGAAATCTGATGTTCAGTGTGATATTTTCTACAAATTTAATTGCTGCTCTCCCATGTTGTTATTTATTGCTGCCCATGGAGGTGTCACAGAATCATTTTAAGACCACTTTCCTCAAATGTAATACTATTGTCTTTTACTGTCTCTTGGTATAAATTACTTAGAGATGTTAAACTTGTCATTTGGGGTTTTTTAGTGTTCAGTGTTACCACTTTATGGGTAAATTCTTCTGGCAGTGTCCTCAAGGCTTACATCAAGCTTAGATTTTCTTCACTTAGGATTATTTTTGTCCTTTCTTTTATCAGAAACAAGCACACAGACATCATATTATGCAGGCAAATGCTGGTTTTGTTTGGGATTAGTTGTGTTTGTTTGGAGTCTTTGTTTTGGTTGTGGGTTTTTATTTAAGTTGACATGGAGCATGTGCAAGAGGAAATGCAAGTCCATGTGCTGTGCCTGATATTTTATACCAAGGAGATTTTTGGGCAGGTATTTTGTTAGGGAAAAGCCACTTTCTACCTGTTATTTTGGTGATAAGGGATTATAGCTATTAATGTTTCACTTTTCTTCATAGAACACTTGCAGCTGGGCTTTAATTTGTTTGGTTTTCTGCTTATTTATGCAACTACTGAAAACACTGGAAAGTTACTTTAGTGATTACTGCAAATTTCAGCTGCTAATAATTTTGAATGTTCAATATCAAATTCAGTGTGAACTGTAGTTCATACTATTATTTCATACCATTTATTTTCAGTTAATAGTACCCCCGAATCAAAGGAAAGTTTTCCACAAGTCCTTCTCACTTTCCAGTTCTCCTTCAGTGTGTTTTATCTGTTTTGCCTGTTTCTAACCAATTTACATCTGGAAATGACTTCATCAGGCAGCTTTTTTCCTAAGTATTAAAGCTTGAATTTTGAAGACTTGAGTTTTATTCCACTATTGGAAGTACAGCTCTTGTTTATTGGCTAATTTCTACTGTGCCCTTGGAACATATATGTATTTTTAATATATATCCCAGTTAAGGGGGGAGTATTTAATGAAATAGCTTCAGTTGTGTCATCATCTAAGTTTATTTTTTGTTGCTACTGTGTAAATAATATATTTTACTTTAAGGTTCAGACCTTTGATTGTATTTTGATAGCATTTAATTTCAGTTGCAGTTTTAATCTGGGATGGAAGGAATCCAACTATTTCTAAATACCACAATGTGATAGTAGATTTTTATTTTTTTTCCCCACTACATTCAACTAAAGACATCCAGTTCACTTAGTGTCTTGCTGAATTGCAGTGCAGTTTGTTCAGCCTTCTCTGTCTTCTGACCATCCAAATAAAGTGGTATTGATTGTTTCCTTGCACAGCACAAAGCAGTTCAGGAATACACTTCTGGTTTGCTGTTTGGTTTTAGTGTAGAATTTTTTTTTATATTTCTTTTTGGAAATAACTTTCTTGTCTCAGTTACATTGCTACTGTCTGTTAAATTGCATGGAGAGCCACTTCTCACTCAGTTCCAAAAGGAGTTGGTTGCAGGAGGTTCCTTCCAACCTAAATCATTCTCTGGTTCTAGATTATGGGGGAGGAGTAGGGGATATAAGGATGGAGTTATATTTTTTATTCTTTCACTAATTTTTGTGCTAGAAAAAGCGAGACTGCTATTATTCAGGTGGGATAGACAGCATTAAGAATGTGCCTTGTGAGTGTGTAATTAAGGATCATATTCCCCTATCCTGGTAGGGCTCTGCCTGTGGAGCTGAATAATATAAGTATCTCTGTGTCAATTTATGAAAAGTTTATGAACTTGTCCTATAGATGTAGTATTGAAACATTCCTGATAAGTTTTCTGACCTCTTGTTTGGTTTAGGCATCCCATTCTGGATTGTTACTAATGGTGTCTGCTTTATGTGTGGAGATTTATATTGTAAAATTTTAGATTCCTGGGGGGAAAAAAAACATTTAGAATTTGAGCAAGTAAATATAAATAATAAAAAACCACGAGGCAATTAAAAATACTTATTATTTTGTGAAAAGTAAGAAAAACATTTTTATGAATCCTGTCTTTGAGATTAACAGTATTTTCAATGCCTCCTAAGGGCACAGGGAGTTTGCTGCCACACTGTTTTAGTTTGAAGAATCAAACTAAACTTTAGAACTTCTAAACTTTGAAGAAGTTCATAAGAACCAAAAAAAAAAGTCACTTTTATCCTTTGATCCTTTCCTGTAGTTCACGTGTTTCTGTGAAAACCATAAAATTCTTTATTCCGTTTTGAAAAACGGATGCAGTTTTTCCTGAGAGCTCTGCTGAAGGGAAAATGGGAAGAAAAGTGAAGCAGTTGAGGGATCCCAAGAGTGCTTTCCAAGATCAGTTTGGTGTGGAGGAACCATTGGTATTTCAAGCAGTTCATTTCTGGTGTCATCTGCAGCACGGACAACACCAGCAGCAAATTGCTTTGCAAGGGTTTCTTCTTTTATACCTGACTGCAAGCCCAAACTTTTCTTTAGATACTTGAGTATATTCTTGAGCGTTGTTCATGTAGATTTCTATGTTGTTGATCATCTGCCCTTGCTCCTCCACCAGAAGTGAGATCTGGATAAAGAGTTCTTTCACATCTTTGATCTGGTTCTCCAGATTGACCAGTTCTTTATGTCTCTGCTCAATCTCTGACAGCTGAGCTTTAGTAATCTTGACCTCAGTGAGTAGATTTTCATTGAAAATCTCCCATTTTCCTTGCTGGAGCATGTCATTGACCTCCTCCTCAGACACCTCCTTCCCAGCCACCTCCAGCTGGCGGAGGATGAAGGTCCTGCACTTGTCCTGCTTGGCGGCGATGGCCTCGTTGTAGGCGAGCATGGCCTGCAGGTAGCGGTGGGACAGGAAGGCGTGCTGGGCAGCCAGGATCCTCACCGTGGCTCGGGCTGGCCCCTGCTCGTTCTCAGCTTTCCTCACGGCTTTCGACAGCTCATCCAAACCTCTGCGTACGTGTTCTGCTTGCATTTTGATTTCCCTCGCTATGTTAGATTCCTTCTTGAGAACGCTGAATCTTCTCATTGAAGACACGAGGCTTTTTTGTTGTTGGCTGAATTTATTGACTTCTTCCACCAGATTATTAATTTCGTTCTGAAGCTTCTGGACTTCATGTAAGTGCCTTTCAGTTATGGGCTCTTTTTCATAAATAATGGCCTGCTGTTCAAACTCCTCCTGCTCCTCTTCTTGTACAGTTGCCCCATTGTTTTCCCCACCCATCTGTAGTTCCTTAGCCTTCTGTTTCAGCTCTTGCAGACGATCTCTCATGGTTTTTGTGGTCAGGATTCTTTCCTGTTTGTTTTTTTTTTTTTCCCTCTTGCAACACAGGATGTTAATTCCGGTATCTTTTTTGTTTGGTTTGTTTCATTGCACTGTAATCAAAATGTAACAACAATCAATGTTAGTGGTTATATGTATATATAAAGA